TTGGCAAATCTGTGACCTATACACACAGGTCTACTGCTCGTTGAAATATGCGTGATCTGACAATTTAACACATTATTATGTGGCCTGGGATTGTGACATAATAGTCGAAATTGTGACTTCATAAATAAAAAGACTAGATAACGTACAACTGGTTGTGGTTCATCATCTACATGGGTAGCCTGTTGCTGGGGTGAAGTATGGATGTCATGCCCCTCTGGCTCCATAGGATAATATTCCTGCGTTGCATGCTCATCAGTGGGTGGGTGAAAATGGGAAGGTGTCTTTTTCCTTTTCGGTGGTGTATCAACAAAATCGTCGTCGTCATCATCTTCAACATCACTTGAATGCCCTTTACATCCATCTGTAATATTTAACAACCGTGGTCTGTTTGGAGATTGGACAGGGGCACTCGTGCCTGCATCCCCCGTATCTCCAAATTGCATGTCCTCTCGTACATGTGGTTGCAAAGGTTTCTTGTACAAAATGTCTTTCATCTATGGAGTTACAATTTCATCATCAGACGGAACAACGTAACAAACTTCAATCTGCAATAGTGATATAATTAACAGTCATATCAGTTATCTACGAACATATTGATTATCAAAGTTTTGTGACGTAAGCATGTTCAGTGTCATTATCGTGCGATGGAAACTTGATGACATCACATGATGAAAGTAGCATATATTTCATGTGTGTGATCTGTGAAACATGCAATGACCAAATCATGTGTAGCTAACGTGTACATAACTGTGACATTTACACCATATATTATCTGTTGTGACCTTTAATATGTAATTGCAACAACAATGAACAACAACTAAGAACCAAAAGTTTCACACTTACGTCAGGCTTGGAGAAGACCTCTTCATCCAATTTAACTGCAGACGGCTATCTGTTCGATGCCCAGTTCACAATGCGGGGGTGCCTATCCCCCACCCTATTGGTCACTGGTCCAGTAAGACTTGGAATTAATTCGTAAATCCAGACTTGAAATGCAATCAAAAACCCTTTCAGCTTGTAGTGGGGATTCCTATGACCCAAACCCTCTTTTAGAGATTTTATAGACATCTCAAACAATTCCTTACCCCAGGGAAACCGTCCTATCGCAGCAAAGTTTCTACTAAGGCAAATATGTAGTTTTCAACCACCTTCTTATACAATGTGGAGAACAAGAAAGACGTTATCAAGTATAAAATCCCGATACTTACAACATCATGATCGTCTGCATCTAACAAGTTCAAGAATACATCACACACATCTTCATTTGTGACTAGTTTCAAATTCCCGAAATACGTTCCCTTAATCCTGGAAGGAATATGCTCGAGATTTTTCCTGACATCCTTACCATTACATCTCATACCCGTGACTACACAGAACTCAAACAACGAAAATCGAACATATTTGTTTGCAACCTTGAACTACATTTCATTGGGATTCGGTTGCTTCACCTCTCTGAACAAAAAGTAGTGTATCAGTTGAGGCCGCACCACAATTTCCTGGCAATCCATGTAAAAGGAAAAATAAGTGTCTGCCAGAATAACCTTTTGTTCATCTGTGAACTTTGATTTGAAGTTGGTCAACACATTATTGGTCACATTGGTTGTAATTCTACCAGGAAACCATACGTCTTGGGGGATTATGTAATTCCATTCCTGCAAGACATTACAAAAATTGGAAACAGATGTCAAAAACCTTTATCATGCGCACATGCAAATCCAGGCATAAAAACATATAATCACATAGGTCACAACCATTTCTCACAACACACTGATGGAGTCACAAGTGTATTTGAAAAATTGTAACACGTGTTACCAGTATGATTTCAAAAATCACTCAAAACATTTACAACAACCATATCAAATAACATGGGCCAATTTCCATAGTCACAAATCTACATGTCACAAAAATTGGTCATAAACCCACAGGTCACAACCATTTAGCACTTGAAACCGTTGAGTCACAAATGTAATCAAAAAATAGTTACACAAGGATTACCAATAAACCACGTCAAAAATTGAAAATTCCCACATCAATAAAGCAATACTCCATTCACAGTCACTTAGCGAGTTCAAAAATCAATTACACATATGCTCATTTAACTCAATAGATTACAGAGAACACTTACATTGTTCGATTTTCGTTTTCGAGACTCGGTCGAGGTTTTCGGGGTTTCATCGCGATCACGTTTACCGACTTGTGAACTTCTGGTGTTCCGTTGATGGCTTGCAGAGGGATAGTCTGTTTTCTGTTGTGATTTTCGGTCACAACTTCAGGTTTTCGCCATTAACAAAGCCTAACAGTGCTTTGTTCGACTTCGTGGCACAAATATGGAAGGATAGATGAAGGCGGTTTCAGATTTAGGGTAAGTATCTTATATAACAGTTGATGATTGAGGAATGTGGAGTGCGGTTGAGCGATTTAGAAATATTTCTTTCCCTTATTTAAAAATTTTCTCTCTACTATTAACGTAAAAAGTGGGAATGGTTAGAGATAATAAATATATTAAAATATTGACAAATAATTAATTACAACCTGATTTCTGAATTAAGGAGCCTAATTACTTAATAATGAAATATGAACTTAAAATACCTCAGTGGCTGTAATTTCCTCTTAAATAAATTTAGATGAGATCATTTGATTGAAACAAATTTTGGACCCAACCCATTTAGATTTTGGTTGTAATTTTTTTTAAATGTAATTTATTATGTGAAATCTGTTTTTACATATTAGCTCAACTTAGAGTTTTTTTTTTTTTTTTTTTAATTTGATTTTATATTTATTCTTGGTTGAAAAATTAATAAAAATTGTGGATCCTATAAAATATATGGTTAAAAATGAGTTTAGAAACAAAACAAGTTTAAAAAAATTGGAACCAAATTGAGGCGAGTGTCGACATGAAGAGCTCGTCGAGCTGGCGGGCACTTGTCTATAATCCACAAGTTACTTCTTTAAAAATTTTATTATTTAATCGAATAATCCATTTTAGCAATTGACTTTTTATGTAGAACCGGTTAAATAATTGCCATTATATTGTATTTCTCAATAACACCCCGCTACGTGTGCAGAACAGGTGAAGCCCTACGGACAATACACAAGGCGGGAGGTCGACATTTTTTTGCAATTTTGTCACCCATGGGTCCCACATGGGGCCGGCCTCACGTGTCTCTTCTGAAGGGATTCTTTGTGTACAAATGGATTGTCCCTTGTTGATATTTTTATGTTTGACTTCTAATTAAAGATCTCTCTGGCTCTCACTGACTAATTATTTCTTCAAGTTATCGATATGTATAGAATTCACACTGATAATTTGTGATTTTTCGTGCTTCAGATGTATAAGGTAATGACAAGAAATCAATTTGGTAATCTAGTTAATTCCTTGTCTGTTGATTTCTCTAAACTTTCATGAAAAAATTCATGAAACTGTGTTTAACCCCCTCTCTCTCTTTCTAGGTTAATTTATCCTATAAAAAAACCAACATTTCTTTTATCTGTATTTTGATCAAGAATTTGACTCTTCTGTGCTGATTTTCTGTTCGTGATTCTTGAGTTATGATGTATAAGGTAATGACAAGAAATCAATTTGGTAATCTAGTTAATTCCTTGTCTGTTGATTTCTCTAAACTTTCATGAAAAAATTCATGAAACTGTGTTTAACCCCCTCTCTCTCTTTCTAGGTTAATTTATCCTATAAAAAAACCAACATTTCTTTTATCTGTATTTTGATCAAGAATTTGACTCTTCTGTGCTGATTTTCTGTTCGTGATTCTTGAGTTATATTTTGACTTATTGTTGCAGCAGAAGTATGATATGCATTTATCTTCTTCATCTTCCATTTGTAGGCACAAATTAACACACTGATATTGCGAATGGACTTCTCGGGAGAAAATGCGTTGCTACATGAGGTTTATCATTTTATGGTTCTGTAAATCACGTTGAACGAAACGCATCGGTCCAGGGAATTACAGACACAGATTTGAGAAGAAAGCCATTGGAAATTAGTATAAGGGTTGAGATTTCTAGGGTTGAAGAAGTGAAAATATTAGGAAGAAAACTAGGTTTTGGGTTTGGACCACCGAGCTTCACGAATCTTTGAAGTACTGAGCAGCACAAATTGAAAGTTTTATTTCTATGTACTCTCTATGTACGTACGAGAGTACAGTCCGTACTGATCTTGATGAGAAATTAGTTCCTCAAACACGCAAATGTCAAGTTTGTTAAGATTTGGGGTCCATCTTAATAAGATCAACCTTATTAGGATGAGTGTCCCAATCCTTTATATATTGGTCATTGTTTCGGTATTTTACCGATGTGGGATTATATTCCCTTAACACGCCCCCGCAAGATGGTGGCTTGTTTGAACAAACCAATCTTGAAATCCGTGTGCTCATTTTTAGAGACTTAATTGGATCAAATTGCTCGTTGGAATTTAATGGACTCTGTTACCATGTTAAGATTTGGGGTCTATCTTAATAAAGTCAACCTTATTAGGAAGAGTGTCCCAATCCTTTATATATTGGTCATTGTTTCGGTATTTTACCGATGTGTGATTATATTCCTTTAACAAAGTTTACCTGAATTGAATCTTGAGAATTATGAATATTTATGCTCTATTGATCCTTTGGAATATGAATCATGGCCATTTTTATTGAGTATCCAGCAGCAGCCACACAGTACAGCATTGCTGAGAATGTCTTGAATAATTGTGAACCTCCGGCGGTCACGGCTGAGAATGGTGGTGGCTATAAGGTCATGAATTAATATTCAACTATTTTTGCTGAGCAAGAGCATTTAGCACCGCCGCCGCCAGCGTTAGCGGAGTCACAGCCATGGATAAGAGAAAAGGGGTTGATTAATAGGAAAAATAAGAGCAACTCGAATAATTCCAAGACAAGGAAATGATTAAAAAATAAAAAAGCATTGGTTGGAGAACAAAGTGCAGATGAAGAAAGGACATCAGTTGCTAAGAAGCTAATCATAATGCCAAGGAGAGAATTCGAAGGATGAAGATCAACGCGTCTTACCTCGCTCTCCGTGCACTCATTCCCGATTACTCGATATCAAGATCAAAGGTCTGATAGTTAATTAACCACACTATTTTCCATTCATATATTGATGTCGCATTTGAGACTAAGGGACCATTTGACAAAATTTCTGCTTCTCGTAGAAGTTCTTCCGGAGGAAGTCACTTTAAGAAAATTATCCAAATATATTTAAGAGAAGTTTTTAATTTCAGAAGCAGATTTGGACTTTTCAAAAGCCCTGCTGAGCGATACATTATTGTTCTACTTAAAACATCATAGATTAATAAATTTTCTCCCCAAAATATGCATTTGATACCCAATTTTTCAAGGAAGATGTATTGCATTGAATTTCATCTTAGTAAAAATTAATGTAAATTCTTGCAGGAGAGATGGACTGCACCGGCTTTAGTCGATTGTGTTCTTAAGTACATCCCGGAACTCGAGAACGAGATAGAAACACTTAAGCTCAAGAAACAGAACTACCTAATTCAAGCAGACGAGAGTACTGGTATCAATAGTCCAGATCAGAATTCACAGCAAACTGGGATTGACAGTATTACAGTGTTAACACTTAATTTGCATACTAGTAAATGAAGTTAAAGAGGGAGAAGCAATTATTCAAATTTGCATGGAAAATAGTAATGCATTCACAAAATTGCTGCAGAAAGTGGAAGACGAACAAGGCATTTGGATCCAAAGTGCATCTACTCTTCAAGTCTCTCAAAATAGAATTTGCTACCATTTACACATTCAGGTACACAATTTAATTTTTTTTTTTTTTTAACATAGAATATTATAATTCCTGCTTAATTTTCGCACTGATATATAATTATAAATTAACTTTTGAACACGTACGTGATTAATAATAATTATATCCAATATCCATAGGAGTTTTTCATTTTTGTACTAAAACAATCACGATACACAATTTTATTGCTAGATAAAAGTGTAGTATTAATTTGATAACTCACAAATGCCACGTGATAGATAAAAGTTCAAAAGACTAGCATGAGTTTAAGCTTATTTTTTGTTAATTTGTTGTGGTTTATCTATTTTAGATAAATGGTTCAAATTTTTGACCATTGATCATTTCCCTTTTAAGGAATCAATATTCGAACCGATTCTCAAAATATTAGAAAGTACAATATGATATATTTATAAAAATATTGGGATTCAAAGAAGTAGTTCGTGGGAATTATTGCTTAGTTAATTTAAATAAGCTAACACAATATTTATTTAGGGGTATATTCGATTTAGACTTTAAAATACTTTTGTGACTTACTTCTGTAGATTTTATGAATTTTTATTGACTTTTTTATATTATATACGAAAGATTTTCATAAATTTTTATTGACTTTCATAGATTTTTGTAAATTCTTAGACTTTTATGATCTTTTATATTCCTTTTTTTTTAAAAAGATTTTCATAAAATTTCATTGAAAATATTCTTGTAAACAATCATCAAAATATCACATTATAAAGGCTGAAAGAAAGTGAAACGAATAAAGCATTATCAAGACAACTTTACGGGAAAAGGTCCCATGCTCATATTGATAAATAAATAAATAAATAAATCTTACAATTGACTCATGCAACAAAAAAGGTAATCTTTATCATTACGTAAACTTGTTGAAATTCATTAATAAATTAACAATCAACTCTTATATAATAAATTACTTAAAAGTTTATATTTTTTCACGAAAAATAGGGGGAAACGATTAAAATAAGAAAGAAAAAATTGTTAGGGCGATATTGAAGAGACAAAGAAAGCCATATGGAATAGAGATAAAAATATAAATCTTTTTCAGAAATAAATTGATAATTAATAATGGCTCTAGGGTTATAGAAAGAAATATGAATGAAAATATAAAATAAAGCAAAAAAATTAGAGATTGAAAGATTTCTTTTTTTTTTTTTTTTTCACATTCTTCTAAAATGTTGTGAGGTGAATCATGAATAGGAGCAAATTGTGAGGTTTCATATTTATACCTCGTGTTTAAGAGTTAGTAAGTAAAGAATTTTGAAAAAAATTGAAAAAGCTGAATTTAGTAGGATTTTACAAAGGCTGGATTGAATATCTCATTATTTTTTAAATACTTTTCTATAAATTTATAAAAATACATTGACATTTTTATAGAGTTAAAAAAGAATATATTAAATATACCAAAACATTTTAAATATATATAAGTCTTTCTAAGTTTATGTTAAGTACAGAGTATAGACTAAAATTGTGATTAGAATGTAACCTATAAAAGCAATTAAAAAAATGAAATTACTAACTTTTATTTTACTCCAACAATAAAATATTAATATTTGTAATTAAAAATTCCTCATTAATTAGTGAAAAAGGTAATTTCCTTTATTAGAAAAAATTAGCTATTTTCATATTGTCACGTATAATTCTGGTTATTTACTTCTCTACAACAATGATATGCCAATTTGAAGAAGCATTATGAAAATGCAAAGTATCAAAAAATTGTTTAGAGTGTTTTTATCAGTGTGCAGTAAGTAATTTCCATTGATGTATAATTAATAATTATTAATGAAAATCACAACACCATGATTATTATTAAGTTGTAAAGAATTTGATTTTAAAGAAAACTGAATTAAGCACATTATCATGTGTTTATTCACCTAATTGCAATACCATCAAACAAGTACCTGAACATATTCTGTTTATAGAGTATTAGTACAGAGAAATCACCAGATACAACCCAAATTAAATAACAAAAAATTATGCATAATACGAAGGAACATATCACATCCCAGTCTAGAAAGAACTTAGGGCCCATTTGGTATGGTTTTGAAAAGTAAAAAATTGTTTTCAAACGTGTTTGTATAAATTTCTAGAGGTGTTTTGTTTGTCTTGGAAAGATTTTAGACTAAACTGACTCATTAAACTCTTTTACAAAAGTTGAAGTAAAATAGAAACCACGCCAAACGGACCCTAAATCAATTAGGCTCATAAGCAGCCCCAAGTCTTAGCAACCAGAACTAAGGCAAAGCCTCACGACCTAATCGACACCAAGAATAAGATGCTATCACATATAGAACATCAAATTCCTCATAGATCTTTCAGTTGATGAAGTATTTTACTCATGAAAGAACTACTACATGTAATCTCCAAGGCATAGTAAGTAGGGGCAAAGATTAACCAGCAAACCTCAAGAAACCAACAATGAACAGTAAGAGCTTTCAGAGAGAAAACACAGAAGAGTTTGAATCATTAATGGAAGAGAAAGAATCACCCACCAGACTCTGTTACAACATCTGCTTTAAATGCCCTTTATTTTCATTACTAGATTTGTACTAGTATCTTGTAAGTCAATAATTTGAGGCAGACTTTGATTCTAACCTCAAAAGTGTTTTTTTCTCTTTTTTGGACAGACAAGTGAAAATTCAACTGGGGTAAACTATGTTGAAGGATTGAGAAACAAGGTAATTTCTTGGTTGAGATGATTGATAGGCATCAATATTATTCATATTGTTGTTGAAGATTTTTATGTAAATGGAGTCTATCTGGTATAATATCTAAGATAGTACGTTGCAAAATTAAAGCAACATGAAATTTATAGAATTATAAGAAGCTAGGCTATATAATTATCATTTGTATGCTTGGTCATTTGCTTCAAGATATAAGTTAAACAAAAAGCTTCCTTCGCTTTGAACAAGTTTGAGATTTACTATGAAAAAAGAAATAGCTTTAAAACCTGCGGATATGTGACGTGTTTTGTAAATAATATTATATATTCATTTTAATTTTTTGCTTTAATAACTTTGTAAAATTGGAATTTGGTTATTCGCTGTGTATGAAGTTCCCTACTAAGAATTTGTAAGTTTAATTCCTATTAGGTTCACATCAATGGGATTAGAATTGGTTATGCATCAATAAAATCTCATCATCCTTGCACAGCAGCCATAGCTGTATTAGCATAATTAGTTATAAGCCTTGTTTAAGCCCTATTATTTTCATCAAAATACATTTTTCAACGGTTATTTGACTACATTTTCAACCATACATTGTATTCTAACTTTTGCAAGACAAGCTTATTTAATGGTATGAAATCCTAGCCTCCTTTTGCTTTCTTCCTTTTCACTTTGTTTACATTTACAATATGAGCATATAATACTACAACAGATATTTTTTGTTTCCTACTCACACAAATCAATATCTTTTCAAAATCATAATTTATAGGGAAAGAATGTCAACGAAACAAAAATCACTAGTTACTGACCAAGATGATAAAATGAGAAAAACGGGGCTGGGATATTGTTGGTAACACCTTATTCCCTTACCCTCTAAAATTGAAAACCACAAATTCTCACTCCAAAAATTCAAGTACAAAGAAGTCCTATGGGGTAAATAAATGCCATTATCTATCGTTAAAAAAAAAAAAAAAAAAAAAAAAAAAAAAAAAAAAAAAAGAAGCAAAAAGAAGCAAACAATTAAGAATCCATAGAATACTGTCTTAATTTATATATTACAAAAAACACAAGGTTTTGCTATTCATCCAGGGCTAGGCACCTACTGCCCATGTGGCAGGGACGGAACTAGGATTGGATCCAAGACCGGTCTACAAAATTTCAAACCGATTTACTACGCGAAAAAAAAAATTTACACATAAAAACATGATTTTTTACCAAAAACCAATAAAAAATACCTTAAAAAAATGTTCTTGGGCTTGAGTGCGGGGGGAACTACAGTCCAACCCTCCCCCTCCCCCAAATCCGTCCCTGCATGTGGCCCTGCCATTCTAGCAAAACCCTAACACACAACTCCAGCAGTCGCCATTTGAAAATTAGTTTAAGCTGTGACCAACTTCTGTTCTGACTATAGATAGTGAGAATGGACCATAAATCGAACAAAATTTTGTAGGCAAGTTTTGCTTATGCGTAAGTTCTTTGAAGCAATAGCCGTTAGGGCATTAGCATGCATGGCTGAAAGATTGCCCTGAAGAGGCTGCATTAGATGACCGTAAACTGATATCAGGTGAGAGAATGCCATGTCTGCTGTGATTATGTTGTTCAAAACCAACAACACTAAATAATAAATAAAAAAAGAAAAACATCTTGCAATCCATACTTTGTTCCAAGAAAAATCAAATCCCGATTTATATTCTTATCCTCGTGTTATTCAAGTTTTGAAAAATTTTATCTTGTATTTTGGTGAAATTCTTTACAAAGCTTGTTATAATCCTTCAAATCATTTGTCGGAATACCTTTTAGCATCTTGAATACATCGAAGAAGGGGCAAATAACGTTTGAGGACAGCGATCCCGCGTTCAAGCCTTCACATTTGTTGATATAAAATTTATTTTAATCCATCTTGTTGCCATATTTTCTTGTGATTTTCTTGTTTTGTTTCTTCTCCATCTCTCAATTATTTCCAACAATGCCTATCCGCATATTGACTTCAGGTGTTTCTACGGGTGATGCAGCAACTTGGGCAAATATATTGACCAGCTGAGAAACATAAGTTCAAATTAAAGAACCAGAAGTTGAAACTCATTCAGTGGAATGGCCTCCGGGTAAACCATAATCATCCTTACTGCTGCACCAGCTGCATTGTCCCTAACTGCATTATCGGGCTCTCATTGCTACGTAGAGCATCATCATATTATTTATTGGATATGTAAGGAGAAATAAGTAAACATTATACTGATTTCACAATATTAGTTGATATCTAAACACTAAAGTAAACATAAAACGATAGTTGGGTTTTGCGATGACAAGGTTTTCTTCACTCGTTTCTTGGTTTTTGGTCAAAGCCGTGGTAGATCGGCGACTCGTGTTTTCATTAACAGTATGTATCATTGACTGTATTGAGTAAAGTGGCGGAACTCAAATATATTTACTTTGATTAATGTTAATATCGGGGTCCGTTAGGGTTATATATTGACTTGCAATCTGCAGAATCCCCCATATCATTGTATACATAAATGGAATAAGAGGAAACAGGTTAATGGAATGATGATTTTGGGAACCAATTTTGTGGATGATGATCTTGATAAAACGATAGTTGGGTTTTGCGGCGACAAGGTTGTCTTCACTCGTTTCTTGGTTTTTGGTCAAAGCCATGGTAGATCGGCGACTCGTGTTTCCATTAACGGTATGTATCATTGACTGTAGAGTAAAGTGGCGGAACTCAAATATATTTACTTCGATTCATGTTAATATCGGGGTCTGTTAGGGTTATATATTGACTTGCAATCTATAGAATCCCCCGTATCATTGTATGCATAAATGGAATAAGAGGAAATAGGTTAATGGAATGACGATTTTGGGAACCAATTTTGTGGATGATGATCTTGATAATCTGAGAAAGAAACATGAATTTTGGAGGGGAAGGGGGGAGGGGTTTTTGAGCAAGAATGGGGGGTTTGAGCAATAATAGACTGTTTGGATACGAGATGATAGCGGGTGCATTAATAATTTTTGGAGAGACGTTACTTTTGAGTTATGCTTTTACAGATTTTGGTATATATATGGACAGGGCCACGTCTGTGGAATCGACCAGAGTCAGGCTAAAGCCTTTGATCTTGAGATGGCCAATGTCTCTGACTTAGACCATTAGCATCAACACACATGTATTTGTGGAAGGCACTTCCTAATGCTATTTCAAGACTTGGCAGAACAAGTAAATTCCAATTTCTTTTATCATTTTATGATTTTTTTCTTCCATTTGATTAAGTTATTTTTCTTCACCATACACTTTACATTACGCATGGACGATGCCACAACTTAATTTTGCAGCTTGTGGAAGTTGAACGTTATCTACTTGCTTGTTGC